GGGGGGGCGGGGGGGGCGAGAATTACCTTTTTTGTTTTTGTTTTTACATTTGTTGGAAGCTGTGGGGGGGGGCTTGTTTTATGGATGTATTATTATTATTATTATTTCCCTCTTCCCCCCCCCCCCACCCCCCCCACACACAAAAAAACAAAAACAAAAAACATAACACCCCCCCCCCCCCCCCCCCCCCCCCAAACAAATAAAAGTGAAAGAAGCAGCATAAATAGCATTTAAAATACAAATTAAAATACAAATTAAAATACAAATTAAAAAGAGGGGGAGAAATGGGATGAGGACATCCTTTCCGCGGGCCCCCCCCCCTGAATAAAATTCACATTTTTTTCTTTTTCCTGACGATGAGCACATCAATAAATAAGGGGGGGGGGGGGGGGCGGGGGGAGGAGGAGGGGTGTGTGTGTGTGTGTGTGTGTGTGTGAGAGAGAGACACACACACTACACACACACCCCAAATCCCGGTTAAAAGGGGGCAGGAGAACGAAAGAAGAAAATAAGACGCGTCGTTTGTTTGTTTTTTTAAAATGGGGAGGGCACCTTCCCCCCCCCCAAAAAAAAATGGTCTTGAGGGGCTTCCGTGAGGGGTGGGGGAGAAATCTGTGCCGCCTTCTGGTGGGGGGGGGGGGGGGGGGAGGGGGGGGGGGGGAAGAAAAAAAAACCCGTCGCAAAATGAGGAATTTGCATTTTAGGCCCCCCCCCTGCCCCCCGCCCCATCCAAGGCCCGCAAGCCGCTTCTGTAAATCTGCTCCCACCCCCCCACCCCCCAAGAATGAGGGAGGGGGACGAGTGGGGGTCGTTTGTAGCAAGAAGAGACCCCCCCACCCCCCAAAAAATGTTCTTTTAATCCAGAACTCTGGATTAAGGGGAGGGGGGGGTTGAGATTAAACTCCCCCCTCCCTCCCCGGTGTTTTCTTAAGTGCCTGCCCAGGGGAGGGGGAGTCTCCCTCAAGGAAGATGAGCGCCCCCCCCTCCTCTGCCCCAAAAGACCCTTCCCCAAGGAAATAAACGGAGATGGCCGTAGGTCTGTAAAAATCCCCCCCCCCCCGCTTCCCGGGGAAGGGGTCAGAGGGGGAAGGGGGCCTCCGAACCCCCCTTCCCCACACTCTTTTGTGGCAACTCAAGACCCCTCCCCTTTTTCCCCCCCCCCCCCCCCCCCACACAAACCCTCTTTCATGCTCTTAGCGGTTTCCCAAGCCCCTCCCACCGCTGTCCCCGTTAGCTTGTGTCTGTGCAAAAGAAAATAAAAGGAGGCGAAGAGCCCCCTCCCCAAGAAGAAGCCCCCCCCCAAGACCCCAATAATGTTCTCTCCCGAAAGGGAGTCCTCCTCCGTCTGGCTGGAAAAGTTGACACGCACACACCCCCGCCCCCGGTTCCTTCTCCTCTTGCCGTCCGTCTCCAGCCGGTTCTGTGCCGTTGTGGTGGTGAGGGGGGGGTTGGCAACACCGCGGAGGGCCAAAGGCGGCCGGAGGGAAGGGTTGGTGGTCTCACTCCACACGGATGAGCAGGCCGAAGAGAACCGTAGCACCTTTCTCCTTGGTGACCCACTCGATCTCGGCACTGCTGAAGCGGGGGTCCACGGGCTCGGGGGCGGCCTGGGTCGGGGGGCAGACCTTGTAGGAGCCAGGACGGACGCATACCTGCAACGCCACCTGGGCCGAGTGCTGTCGGTGAGATTTGGGGTCTTTGAATCTGGGAGGGAGGAGAAAAAAAACATGGCTGGGCTTACTTACATGCCGAGATCGACAGTCTGAAGGTGGGGAGTCAGTCAAGCTCAAAATTCTGAAGGAAGTCTGGAGGCCGCAGGTGGAATAAAAATTGATGTTTTTTTAAAAATTTAAACTGGATTTTTTAAAAATTTAAACTGGATTTTTTTTATTTAGATCAGATTTTTTAAAAATTTAAATCAGATTTTTTTATATCAGATTTTTTAAAAAAATTAAATTAGATTTTTAAAAATTTGAACTAGATTTTTAAAATTTAAATCGGATTTTTAAAATTTAAATCTGATTTTTTATATCAGATTTTTTAAAAAAATTAAATCAGATTTTTAAAAATTTGAACTAGATTTTTAAATTTTAAATCGGATTTTTAAAATTTAAATCTGATTTTTTAAAAACAATTTAAATCGGATTTTTCTTAAATTTAAACTGATTTTTTAAAATTTAAATCATATTTTTTTCTTTAAATAGGATTTTATTTAAATTAAAGGGTGACAATGGATTATATATCTCAGAGTCGGCTACACCCAGGTAGTCCTGAACATGTTAACTCCCAATAAATCCTTTGGAAGTTTTACAAGTTTGGCTGGAGACTCAGGATTTAATTGGAATCTTGACAACCAGGTCTTATTTTCGGGGAAACACTGTATGTTATGTACCGCCCGGCTGCCATTTTGACTTATTTGCAGGTTTTCCTCCTCCCCAGGTCGCGATCAGACATCTTCCGGTATCCCCGCCCCGCCCCCACCAAGCTGTCCACGCGTGACACCTACTGCACTTTGGTGGCAAAAGGCTCCAGTCCCGCGTAGCGCAGGGTGGGCGAGAGAAGGACGTGGTGGGCTTCCTCGCGCCCCTGGACGCTGTTCTCCTCCGCCTCCAGGTAGACCCCATTGGGGCCGCTGCCCGGGCCCCCTCCCTGTGGATCAGCCTTCACCGGGCGGCAGCTCAAGATGGACGTGATCCCTGCGGGGCAAGGAAGGAAGGGGGTACCATTGCAGTGGGGGGGGGGGGTTTTTTGGGGGGCCGGCGGTTGGAGGGCTGACCCACATCACCCCAAATGGTTGAAGGGTAGCGAGGGGGGGGGCTCAGCCAGTCATAAAAAGAGAGCAAATCGGCGAGAGTCCCGTTGACCCCCCCAAATCTTCTCCCTCAGACCCCCATTTTGGGGTCCCTCAATACAATACTAGGTGTAATTCTGGGGGGAGGGGAGAACCCCCCTCTTTTCTTGACTCCTGAACTGACTGTCCCCGCATCTCTCTCAGATTTTCGGAAGGGATTTGCCATGGGGTCCTTTCGAGGGCTGAGAGAGACTGGCTGGCCCGGGCTGGCTTCGGGTCGAAGGCAGGACTAGAACTCCCAGCCTCCCAGTTTTCGGAAAGGGGTGGCCGCTGTGTACTTTTGAGGGCTGAGATCACCCAGCTGGCTTCGCACCGAAGTCAATACTAGAACTCCCGGCCTCCGGTTTTCGGAAGGGGGATGCCATTGCGTCCTTTTGAGGGCTGAGAGAGACCGGCCGGCCCAAGATCACCCAGCTGGCTTCGCACCGAAGTCAATACTAGAACTCCCAGTCTCCTGGCTTTCGAAAGGGGGTTGCCATTGCGTCCTTTTGAGGGCTGAGAGAGAGACCAGCCAGCCCGAAGTCACCAGGTTGGTTTTGTACTGAAGTCAATACTAGAACTCCCAGCCTCCTCGTTTTCGGAAGGGGTTTGACGCTGCACCCATTTGAGGGCTGAGAGAGACTGGCCAGCCCAAGAGAGCAATACTAGAACTCCCAGCCTCCCGGCCTTCGAAAGGGGTTTTGCCACTGCGTCCTTTTGAGGGCTGAGAGAGACTGGCTGGCTGGAGATCACACCTGGCCTCATGCTGAAGCCAATACTAGAACTCCCAAGTCTCCTGGTTTCTCGCCTGGCCCCTTCGCTTACCAGGCACCAGTTCCCCTTGATCCAACATGCGGCGCACGGCTCCGATGCTCGTCCCATGGTAGGCTATGTGCCACTTCTTCGAAGTGCTGGCCACGTCCAGGCGGGGGTTTATTCTGCAAGGAACAATGGGTGGGTGGGAGAAAACCCGGAGGGTCCCGGAACCAGGAAGAAGGAAAACCCTCCCTAAACGAGGCCCGCGACAGCTTCATCTTCATACATACTTAACTTATGACCACAACGGAGCCCCCAATGGCCATCGCTAAACGAGATGGCTGTTAAGTTTTGCAACCTTTCTTGCCGCGGCCGTAAAAGCGGATCACGGTGGGCAACCGGCCGTCGGGACTCCCGATAAGCAAAGCCCCTTTGCTCCACCTTACGAGCTTCCTTAACCCCCAGGGGTTAAGCCAATCACTGCGGCCGCTAAGTGAGTCGTGCAGTCGTTAAGCAAAGCTGGCTTCCCCGCTGCTTGTCAGTTGGTTGCGAAACGGGGGAGGACATCACTGCGACCATCGTAAACAGAAACCAGTTGCCAAGGCCGTTAAGTGTGAAACACGGTCCCAAGTTCCCTTTTTTTCCCCCCAAACTACCGCTAACCGAGCAGTCGCAAGTAGAGGACCACCCCGCCCTGCCCCTAAAGGTACCTGAGGCTGAAGTGGCACCACCCGAAGGGCAAGGCGTAGTCCCGGGGGGGCTCCCCCCGCTTGTAGTAGGCCTCGTCCCCTCGCAGCTTGTGGCACGACTCGCAGTAGCAAAGGCTCAGCTTGGGGTCTTCGGCGAAGTAGGCCTCTGTGGGGGGGGGGCGGGATTTAGGGATATTGGGGTGGGGGGGGAAAGAACACGGTTGGAAGGTGGCCCAGAGGAGTCGGACAGGAATTCGTTCGTATTTCTCGGTGTGGGATCTGTGTGTGTTTGTGTGTGTATTTTTGGAAAAAGGAAAGTTTCCATTTCGTTTTATGATTTCATGGCATTGCATTTCGTTTTTTAAAATTATTATTTTACAAAAACATCCAAATCACCCTCAATGACTTTAGGCAAGTTGCAAAGAGAATAGCCCAACACCAGAATAATTAAAAACACAATAACCACATGTCCCCTATAGCTATTTGAAGAAAAGATGCATGCATGTATGTATGTATATATGTATCTCTCTCTGTCTCTCTCTGCATCTATCTCTCTATCTCTCTCTATCTATGAATCTATCTATCATCGATCTATTTCTATCTCTCTATCTCTCTATCTATCTATCTATATCTATCATCTATCATCTATCTATCTCTATCACTTATCTATCTATCATATCTCTCTACCAATCATTTACCTATCTCTCTATCATTTATCTGTATCTATCATCTATCTATCTATCATCTCTATCTATCAATCATCTATCTATCTATTTTCTATCTATTTATCTATCATCTCTCTCTATCAATCAAATCTCTATCTCTCTGTCATCTATATCTATCATCATCATCTATCATCTATCTATCTATCTATATCTATCATCAATCTATCTATGTCTATCATCTATCTATCATCTATCTTTCATCTCTCTCTTTCTCTCTGTCATCTATATCCATCCATCCATCCATCTACCTATCTATCTATCTCTATCATTTATCTCTATCATCTCTATCTATCATCTATCTATTTATCTATCATCTCTATGAATCATCTCTCTATCTGTCATCTATCATCATCTATCTATATCTATCTATCTATCTATCTATCTATCTATCTATCTATCTATCTATCTATCTATCTTTCATCTATCTATCAATCTATCTATCTATCATCTATCATCTATCTATCTTTCATCTATCTATCATCTATCTATCTATCTATCTATCTATCTATCTATCATCTATCTATCTATCTATCTTTCATCTATCTATCATCTATCTATCTATCTATCTATCTATCTATCTATCTATCTATCTATCATCTAACT